TTTTTTTTTTTTTTTTTTTTTTTTTTTTTAAGTATGCTGGCCATTTATTAAACCTTTCTTTGGTTGTGAATGCCTGTACACTCACTCACTGTTTGGAGGTCCTGAAAGGCATTTCAAGTGCTTCTGTCCAAAAGCAAAGAAAAGGGAACACAAGACAAAAGAAATTAAGTACTAAAGTTTCAGTTGATTTTTAGTTTACATTCTTCCTCCATCTCTTATCTGTTTCATTAACACTTCTTTGATGGGAGATACAGGATTGACAGATGTCTGAAAACGTAGAGGATGTAAACATGCTAACCAAGCGAAGCATATATGGGAATTAATTACAGCAGACTGTATCTGCAGTCCTGTATACATGTTTTATGGTAGGTTGGCTTTCTATGCTCTGCAAAGACAACCCTTCCTAAGAAAAGTATAGAGATAACAGCTGGAGGAGGACATGAAATGACAGGCTATGTAGATTAGACAGAGTGGGAAGTGAACCAAAGATGAAGAAGTTGAATAGGTCAAACCACATTTGAAGTAGAAGGCAAGGGGAAGGCAGTACTGTATAAGGGTTTCTAGCTCACATAGATACATTGGGAGTAAATGTAAAAATTCAAAATGAACATTTGGTATTTCAATGGCCTATATTACAGGTTGACAACCTATGGCCCAGAGGCCAGAACCTGCCTGCGGAACCACTGATCCGGAACACAGAAGTAGGACTTCAATAGTAAGGGCTTTGGCTATGGGTGCTGAGGCCATGCTGCTGCAGGGAGAAGCACCAACTGCAGGCACTCTCCCTGTGACGCTGGAGACAGACAACAGTGGCAGCAGCTGGGTCTTACCACTCATCCGCCTGCCTCTGACCTGCGTGGGTCATTCCAGCCTGAAGCCGGAAGAGGTTGTCTACCTCTGGCCTAGATAAAGACCTGAGTACTGGGGCAAATATGATGAAACATGGGAATTTTCCTGGGCCAATTAACCTGCTTTAGAATAGTAAGGTGCCAGAAAAGCAGTGCAAAACTGCCCTCACACAAAGAAGTAGGCTGCAGACATTCAGAAGCGCATTTTGAACACTTACAGTTTGCAGCTTTTATCTTTTTGCATGAAAAGAGCTTTGAAATGATGCTTGATGTCTTCACTTAAAAGGATGAGATTTATGATAACACATTTACTGAATTTCTAACCCCCCCAAAAAGCAACTGCCATTTTATTCTGGATTGCAAAGTAAATGGGATTTCCTGAAGTATGTCATTCACATAAGGAACCTCCAAACATTTTATCTAAAAGGGAAATATCCCAGAAACTTTGCACGGAGTTCTCTTTATTGCATCCAATATCAGATTCTGAGTATAAAGATGTAAACTATGTTGATTTAAAATTGCCTTCAGTGACATGTCCAGCTATCAATGAAATCCTGGCTGATATAAAGTTGTATTCATTCATAGTATTCCTGTAAATGAAAGTGCTGTATAAATGTTCTCCACACTGATGGAAAATCCATGAATGATATTCACAAACCCATGAATGATGGTCATTCTTTTCCTATATTAGCCACAAGCCATGATCCATGTCTCTCTATTATACACAGAGAGGATTAAACAGATTCTACGTACTGCACAGTAGCTAAAGTCAGATTCTCAGCTGATTTAACTCCAGAAATAAGGATGTGGTACAAGGTCTTTTCTTTACTAAGATTTACAGTAGCTAGATATTTAAATGCTTTGGAAGATTTTTGCACATTGCTATATCTAGTCTGACTGCACAAAAAAAAACAAAAAACACAAATCTCCTGCTTCTTTCCTTAAGTAAACAATTACTTACAGGAATGTTGATGAAAACCGTATCAAAATCTGATCCCGACAGAAACCTTTTCAGCGGCCCCATGAAAAACTGCAAAGAAAAGGGTACACCTTGACTTGTATTTTCCAGCCTGTTATTTACTATGTAAATAGCTATTCTGCTAGTACAGAGTTGACTGCCTTACCTTCTCTATTGATTCTAAAGTTTCTGTGTATTTCTCTTCAGTTTGTTTTATTTCAGCAAGGCAGCAGGTTCTTACATCATTTTCAGTACATTTCTGCAATTAGAAGCAAGTCAAGTTTAATTTACTCACAGACACCTAGTGGATAACAAACTCATTTATTTGTTTACTACTTAGTGATTAGGACATATTGCTCATTGTAACTTTATCCATGTTGCAGCCTCAAGAGATTGTGACAATTACCCAGGAAATGGTTTTTAAATGTGCAATTAGCTAACAACTTCAAGAGTTTGAACAAAATTTAGTATTAAATAAGCTCTATAAAAAGTTAACATTTAGCTCTAATCAGTTTAGCCCTTCCCACTTAATTTTGAAAATAATATGAAATTAAACTGTAGCTTAGATCCATAATTTGGAGCATGACTATGAAGCATTTATTCACAGTGATGAGCAGTAACTTATAGATGCCATTCATTATGCTCAATGAGATTAAATTAAAGCCAGGGACATGTGAATGGGGAGACAAAGTCTGGGGCAAAAACCTGGTACAAACTACATCTTGGAAGCTGCACGGGAAACAAGTAGGCTGTATATCAAAAAAAGTAAGCATTCTAAAGACATGCCTTGTGGATAAAATGGATGTGCTAGAACTCCATTTTGGTACAGTTTTATCCTGACATTCTCATAAAGATGCTAAGGAAACACTGTTAAGATAAAGCTACTATACAGAGGATGTATAACTGGTTTAATAAACGCACTGAAAAAGTAGTTATCAGTAACTCAAATGGAAAGGAGATATCATATCGGGTTCCAAAGAAAACCCTGGGTTAAGTACTGTTCAATATCCTAATTCCATCCTCCAAGTCATTAAGTGTACATTTAGTGAATCTGTGGATGACACCCTGCAGGATAGATAGCAAGCACTTAAAAAACATTATTAGAATTCAAAATAACCTTAATAAAGTTGAAAAATGCTCTGAAATAAATAGGATGCACTTATCCATGTTTAATGTCAAACTGCTATGCATAGGAGAAAACCAATCAAATCCACAGATATTAAGTGGAGAAAAATTGACTAGGCTGCACTACTACAGAAAAGGATCTGGAGGTTATAGTGGATGGCAAGCTGAATATAAACAAACAGTATAACATTAAGACAAAAATGTTTAACATACTGAGAAGTATTAACATTAATGTTAATGTTATGAAGTCCTGGGAAGCAACTCTTCCACACCATTTATACACCTCAGCTAGAAACTGTTGTTCTGTGTTAGATACCACATTTCAAAAAAATCACAAATTTGATTAGCAGTATAAGAAGCATGTCATATGTGGAGAGTTGGAAGAATTAGGATTATTTAGTCTGAAGAGGAGGAAACTGAAATGGGATTTGACAAGAGTCTTCAGACAAAATCTAAATAAAAATACTCTCATATAAAAATATATATAAAGTATAAATACAAAAATGGCTGTTATAAAGAAGATGGTAATTGTTCTTTGTATCTTCAGGGTACCGGATAAGCAGTAATGGGCATAACTGGCAAGCAGAGAGATGATTTAGGTTGGATAGCAAGAAGATCTTTCTAATTATGTGCAGTTAAGCACTGGAACATATTACCAAGAGAGGCTGTGAGATATCTGTCATTAGAAGTTTTTAAGTGCAGGCTGAGTAAACATTTGCCTGGGATGTCTCAGATAGGAATGATCCTGTCTTGAGCCCAGGCTGAACTAGATCATTGCTAGGGCCCACTATTCTAGTATTAGAGCACAGGAAAAAACCACCCTTGATCCTCTCATTAACAGGCAGAGCTAGGTCACTTGTCAAGTTTACATTACATGTTCACAGCTTTTTGAGCTCAGAACAGCTTCGTTTGCCAAGAGTTAATCTTCTCTTGCAACCAGTCTCTCATTATTGCTCATTAGTCATAATTTTTCTTTCTGTTTTTCCCCCTTGCATAGAACTTCCATACAAAATATGAAGCCATGCATTTCAGGAGATTATTTAAAGCATGTGGACACATGATGGTTAGCTTGAGGTCTGAGCATAATCATTTTCAGAGACATGTATAGTTAATGTCATTGTAGTAGACTCTTTCTTAACCAATGACAACTCCTTGCACTGGAAAAAAATTACAACAATACCTGAAACTTTCCTGGGTTTGAGTTGCATTGAAAAATTGAAATTCAAAGAAGAAATAGCAAGTATTTGAAAATACATTTGAACCAAGTAACTATTCCCAGCTGCAAATAAACTCAAGCTTATTTATGACTATATGATAAAACCACACAAAATCTGCACTTTCAACTAAACAATGGTTTGAGTTTCAAGGAAATTATGCAACTCTTGAGTTATGATAAGACAATTACTGAATTCCTAACCCAAAAAAGAAACAACTGACATATTATTCTGGATTGCAAAGTCTCCAAAAGTACTGAATTCCAAACATTTATTGAATTACTAGACCAATAAACTCAGGTGTTGTATACTTTTGATAAAGATATGAGCAACTACAAACTGAAACTCCTAAGTTTCTCATTACTTTACACACAAGCTGTATTACTTCTAAAATCCTGCATCACATTAGTACCTCTAAGTACAATAATGTGCTAGAAAATAAGGTAAAGATGTTCTTCAAGTAATTTGCTAAGACCTACAGTCCTTTTTGGAGGGCCCAGTATTATGTTAAGTACATGAAATATGGCAGTAATTCTTCCAAAGGAAATATACTTTTGTCACCTCTCGAGGATAATTTTTGGGATCACAGTAAAAGCAGTATCAAAAAATGCAATAGGTACTTGCAACTGGCTGGTTTTATCTCAGAATACAAGGAAAAAACCCTTCAGACCCTTTGAATTTTCACTTTTACAAGTGTTTATACCACTGGAATTCAATGTGGGAAAGCCAAAGGTAAGCACCTACCTTAAATAAACTATTCAATAAAACAACAAATGTAAAGCAATATGAATATATGGTCCTCTCTCTCCTGAAGGAGGATATGCCATGACTACTGAGCACTAAACACTTTTCAGGTCATACAACTTCATTCAAAAGTGTCCTATTTTTTTTTAAAGTAGGATTTAATTTTTCATTGATCTTAAATTTAATTAGCATATCTTAAATTGAAATATACAGATTCAACTGGCATATCTTAATATGTATAATCAACTAAATCTTTTTAAAAACTCTCATTTATTCAATTAGAACTACAATAATTAACCTTTTTCAGTTCTCCATAAGAGAATATTAATTTCATTGTAGGTTGATATTCTTATATTTAAACTAAAATTTCACATACTGCTACTATTTCTTCATGAAAAATCTGAAGTTACTCTAAATAAAAATGGGAAAATCATACAGGTGGATTTGCTGCTTCATCTTTCATTAGGTCTTCATATACTTCCCCCCCTTCATCTTCTCCGTAAACACAGTCATATAATTCTTCATCTTCATCTACACCAGATTCACTGAAAGGCAAAAAAGAAGAGACATTGTAAAAGTTCTGTATATCAAATGGAAATTACAATGCCAACAACAAGAAGGCAGGTTCTTTGAGTAAATCTTTTATTAGACCAACTAAAATAGTTGGAACTGCAGATGCTTGCTCTGCCTGAAGAAGCACGTTTGTACACAAAAGCTTGCAAAGAAGAATTTTTCCAACTATTTTAGTTGGTCTAATAAAAGATATCAGATTTACCCAAAGAATTTTGTCTACCTATGTCCTTAGACCAACACGGCTACAGCCAACACCCTTGAAACAACAGGAAGGAAAATTTACAAAATGGCAGGATTTTTACAAGCAGCCTAAGCGGACAAATCAAACAGAACAAACTGAGTTAGACCAGGAATGGACTATAAAAAAATTAAAAAATTAATCAGTAAGACCCTTAATTTTTAGCTAGACATGTTTAAATCTGACCTTATAAAACTAATGCAAAGTTAAAGAAACAAAACTAACTGAATTAAAGAATGTTAAAAAAGTGAGAGATGTCAACCAAAAAATAAGGCATTGAATAGAGCCAATCAGAATATTTTTACAAAGAAATACAGATTGCCACAATATTTTTATTGGGGAAAGGAAGAGAAAGAAAAGGACAGAAAGAGACTCTCTCTTACACTCAGTAATATAGAAGCAGTCTAGCTACATGGAGCTACATGTTACCATACTTGGATTATTTCCTTTCCCTGATCTAACATATTTAGAACTATTTACTCATTTAGAAATAGTTACTATGGGTGCCTATACATGTGCTCTTTCACATTCTAATTAGAACAAGTCTGCTCTGTGTTCTAGTTGGGGTGCTCCAGCCATAGGCAGATTCATGCATGGGCCAGCTGGGCACAAGCCCAGGGGCCCCTACCAATTTGGAGCCTGGGCCCCAGGATCCTCATCAGCAGGGAAGTGAAAGCCACAGTTTTAAACTCAGCACCCATTTTTGGTGCCAAGTTTCAAACTGCAGCTTTCACATTTGCTTCCCTGGGAGCTAGAAGTGTGGCCCCACCCCAATGGGGCTGGAGGGCGGGGTCAGGGCTGCGGTCGGGCCAGGAGAACCGCACTATGCCTGGAAGAGTGGGGCGGGCCAGGTGGCTCTGCATCTGGAGTGGAGGGAGCCAAGCCGGGCTGGGAGAACCATGCCCTACCTGGGGGGGGCGGGAGGGACACACACGGTTGGGCCAGGCCAGGAGTGCCGCGCTGCACTGCAACGCGCCTTTGCGGGTGGTGACGTTGGGAGGGCCTTGGCATCTATAGCCCCCCACAAATTCATCTTAGCCTGCCTGCAGCCACCCCCCTGCACAGACTTGGTGCAGCACTCCCGGCCTGGCCCAGAGCAGCTCCCTGTAACAGGAGCCAGGTGAGGAGTGAGACTGAGCCACAGGTGGCTCACAGGTGGAGGTGGGAGGGCTGCCTCCATGTGATCAAGAGTGGGGGATGGGGGAGGTCTTGAGAGGGGAAAGTGTGTGTATGGGTCTGTCTGTCTATGTGCATCTGTCTGTGTCTGGGTCTGCATATGGGTCTGTGCACGTCTGTGGTTTGTCTGTGCATGGGTGTGTGTGTCTATGTATGAGTCTGTCTGTGACTCTGTGTGTGTGTCTATGTGCAGAGAGTAAGAGTAGATTGCATATGCCTGTGTGAGTGCCCATGTGTGCATGTCCATGTATGTGTGTACATTCAGCCATAGCAGGGGCAGGGAGCAGGGAGAAAACGTGGGCATGTGCCCCCCAGCCCAGCGGGGTCCACCCAGCCTCCCACATCAGCACTAGGAGGGGAGAGGGCCTCCAATTTTGCATCTGTCCAGGGCCCCAGTACACCTTAATCCACCTCTGGCTCCAGCATAGCCTAATCATCACATGTATAAACCCCCATAGGGAGCTTTATCTAAACCTCATTTGACAGGGTTTGGATAAAGTGCCTCTGCAGCCATGTTTAAATCTGTGGGGGCTTATGCACATGGCGGTGAGAAATTTTAATTAGAGCAGCTCTCTGGGAACCACTCTAATTAAAACGCCCCACTCCAAGTACATGTATAAGCAGCCTATATTTCCATGAGCTGTGCTGTACAGGTAGTTAATGTAGTAAGGGGTGGAAGCCAATATTAGTGTGATTTAATTATTCATATTCCAAATGCCTCTTTGAAAATCTCAGTCAAAATTATAACATAGGAGTAAAATATTTCAATATCTCATTTTTCATCACATGCATACTATTCTGAGTAATTTCTGTGTATGCATGGAAGGTAACAAAGAATAGTAAAAGGAACTTCACTTGGGAATATTTTTAAAAGATGAGGATGAAAAAAGCACCATGATTTTAAAAAGTAAAAAGGCAAAGAAAAATTATTTAAAGCATTCTAAACATGTAGTTCCATGGGGACCATTTAGATTCAGGCCATTAATGTGAATTATTTTTGTAAAATAAACTGCACCAGTTAAGGAAAATCCCAAAGATTTAAGTAACTCACATGGTGATATCTAGAAGTGTTTATATTACTAAATACATATTTCCTTTTAGTTTTTTCTTATTTATATTTTAACAAGCAGCCAGCTATCAAATTTCACCATACAATATGTGCAAAACAATGTAAAGGTATATTCAACCAATTTGAAGTAAATGCTTCGTGGCAAAATTTTTTGGCATATAAACCATTACAGTAATCAAAACAAGGGATATTTTTCTCAAAATAATAGATATTCCTATTTTAGGAACATACTTAGGAACCTTCTTTGCAGAAACTGCAATAGAGCTATATACCATGAGGCCTTTTGTAGGGTGCTGACTATATACCATGAGACATTCTCTTCTTGCTGAAAGCATATTCATCTCCTATTGTATTAGGATTTGATGTTTAATACTGCTATAAAAACAAAATCTGAAAAACCACGTTTTATAGTTCTATAAGGTGTTTCTTATGCCTCTTCTACACGTTACATTTATGCTGTGATTTAACATGTTAACCATGACACAAATTGCAAGAGTGCTACACATGTACCTAATTTAAAGGTGCCATAAAATATTAAACCAGCCATTATGGCTTGTTTGTATAACACTTTTCACTGAAAGTACAACAGATTCTGGTGAGGGTAAAAATCAGCTGACTGTCAGCTCGTGGCACGAACCACACTGGGGTCTTGAACCAGCTCCAATGCAGTCAGAGGCTGGGACCAACCATTATCTGACTGTGGACCCTGGGGCCAAAGTTGACAATCATTTGATTGTTAGCTGGGCCCCAGACCACACTAGCGCTAGTTTGAGATTCCAGTATGGTCCCTGGCCAGAGTAGAAAAATCAGCTCATTGTCAGCCCTGACTCCAGACCTGCAGGCACCCAGCTTTCAACTTGCCAGTGCTCCCCTGAACTGCCGTGTAAGAAGGGCTCAACTGAGATCTGATTCCCGATCCCAAAATCAGGGCTCTTACCATGTACATGGTAAGGAGGCACGACTCATTGTTGGGATCGGGGATCAGATCCCACTGCATCTTGAAATGAACATGTGCCAGAGGTTTTAAACTCACCCATGAGCTATTAACTGTAAACTGGTAACATCAAAATTATAAGAGTATCACAGCTGGAATATCAGTATGTGTTACAAAAATGTTGCTCATTGTAAATAAAAGTCAGCAAAGGTGAGATGAGAGGTTAGTACAACAAACTCCATCTAATGACTAAGTCTATGTTTTTTTGGTATCCAGTTGCTTTATGCCCACATCTCTTTTAAGTGGCTACAGTCATTACTCTAATTAGGTTAAACTAAAGGGGGGGGGGGGCAAAATATGGCCCACAAGCCAGATCTGGCCCACGAGGCCATTCTATCCAGCCCACAGGGCCCCTAAAAAAATTTAGAAAACTAAATACTGATCTGTCCTTGGTTCCTGTAAAAAAAAAATGACAGAAACCAGGGGCAGTAGGACCATGGGGAAGCCCCAGCAGACTGCCGCAACAGCAGGGCCCGCCCAGCCCTGCCGGAAGCTGCAGCAGAGGTTTCAGGCCTGGGACCACGCGAGTGCACCATGCTAGAACCTCAGGTAAGTGGGTGGCAGTGACCCTGGGCACGGAAGGAGCCCAGGGAAAAGCAGCCCCTCCCCCGCCCCGTGCTCCCTGCTGCAGCCACTAGCAGCCCATGCGGGGCTGTCCTGAGCAGGCACAGGCAGCCCCATGCGGGCTGCACATGGCTGTAGCAGGGAGCATGAGTCATTGGGCAGGGGAGAGGTCGCTCGTCCCTGCAATCAGCACCAACTTATTACCTGCTGGTGAGCATGGGGTCAGGGCTGCAAGCTGACCCCCATCTGTACAGCGGGGCTGGGGGGCACTGGAAGTGAGTGGGGCCCACACCGGTGTCCTGGGGCAAGTGCCAGTGGGGCCCAGAGCAGGGCGGTAGGAATACAGGGTCCCAGCTAGCAGGGGCTCTATGGAACCTGGCCAGCTCCCCCCTCTCCCTGCTGGTACAACCCAGCCCAGCTCCACAGATCCCTGCCAGCCTGCACCCCACCAGTGCTGTCCCTGAGATATTGGTCCCAAGATGGTGACCAGGGGGCGGGGATACCCATGAGGCTACCCATGACAGCTTGCCAAAACTGGGTAACCAGCTCTCCACCCAAAATAACTGCCCGCCCCTGAACTAAAACAATTGTTCTACCTTGTGTTTAAGCTTGGACTGTGAGTGCTTTTCTCAGACCTGATGAAGGATACCTGAAGCTCAAATGTTTGTCTCCTATCTTTCCTAGCAATACATGCTGGTCTACTAAGAGATACTGCTTCACCTGACAAATTGCATGTCAATCACTGTGGTGTAAAAAAAATATCTGTGGTAACCTGTAGTTAAGCAAAAGGGCCTGGATGACTAAATCCACAAGGGCAAGTCCACTCAAGATCTACAGACTTCAGTGGGAGTACTTACAGAAATAATGATCTGCACAAGTACAACTGTTTGCAGGATCTGGGCCAAAATTTTAACTGGTTATGTAATTTTTATCAAAACATTCTAATAATACAAACAAATAATTCAAAGTATATTCAAATATTATTTTGCCATCCAACTCCCTTGTGAAACACATATTTTCAGATATATTTAATGTATAAAACTCCCTAAAGGAAGCCTTTTTTTATATAATTGATCCTTCCTTTCTAACCAAATCTTGACCAGATATCTTTTATTTTAAATACATATTTCATCATCTCATTTAAAGAATACTCTACACAGCAGAAAGCTAATACTTTTCAATCTGTTAAAGATTTACAACATACTCTACTAAATCATGAAGGCCTTTGTAGATATCTTCATCATCAACACTTTCTTCTGTAGGGAAAGGCCTGTAGAGACAAAAAGACAGAAGTATGGATTTTACACTACCCAGTCTGGCTACTGATTTGATTCTGAAATTTCAATTTATATTTACATGCTTTTTCAATTAGTGTGTACGTGTGTTTATAATCTCCTTAAAGTAAATTCAACAAATAAGCATGACAAAGTTGTTACAAGTAACAATTAATACAAGTCATTTACAAATTTCCCATGCAAGTATTAAATAATGTGTAGTTAACTAGTAAACCTGAATTTGTACCCAGAAGCCATGAGTTCTGAGACTTGTACAGAATCTTTATATTTGAAACTCAGGATTTCTGGTAGATGGCTTGCAAAGTATTCTCTCATAGGAACCAGGGCTAAGAAGAAGGTGAAGCACAGATGTTCAACCTGCAAGGTAGTAAAATGCAATCTTACAGAAAGTAGACAGATCCTTGCAGAAGACTCTAGGCCAGAAGAATGGACATGACTGATGGGTTGAACTAGGGTAAAAGTTTATTTTGAAGTAATAAACTAAATCCCTGAGGAAAGAGTCTGAAATCCTGGAGCCAAAAATTTTTTCAATGCAAGTTAGCAAAATTTGCCCACAGGTTTACTTTTAGATTAACTCTTCAGAGGGTACTTGCACAGAAATGCAGTTCTTACTGACTCTGAAAAGGATGAGGCTGGAAAGCAGGATCAATGAAAAAGTAGCAGTTGCTATCATCTGCCTATTTTCCTCCACTACCTCCATTTCAGGCTAGAGAGTTGGCCTGAAGAAATAGTATTACTTTTTCCTCTTCAAATGCAGAAGACTCATGTTACTGACATCAGTGGAGGGCATCTGTTCTCTTCAGGGGTGCACCAACAGTGCACCCCTTAAACCGGTTCATGTGTAATGTCTGTCCCCAGCCAGAGGTTATCAAACACTCTGCACAGAATTTAAAATCAAAAGCCCTGGTTACTTGTCCAGTAAAGAAACACAAGGCATCACCAGTAAAATTCATAATAATGTTTGGTTCAGTTAAGGGAAACTTTTCACCTCAGTGATGCCCCATATCTCTAGGTTTTCCATCTACACTACCTGCACTTCAGTCGAGGTTGGCTGGGGGCATAAGGGGAGGGAAATATTAGGAATGAAAACTGTCCCAGTGTATTGAATCCCCCAGGAGCAGATACAGGTTGAAAAAAAACTGACCAAACATATAACTATTCACTGATCTAAAAGCAAAAATAGAGTTAGAGCATAAAAGACAATGGGTTAGATTCGGGTCTGTGGGAGAGAAGTTAAGAAGGGAATGGCCTACTGAGAAACACCTGCTCCAAGGCAACTTCAAACAGGGAGGAGAGGAGCTTACATCACAGCTTCATGCCCTCATCTTAAGAATCTAGAACAACGAGGAAATCCCAGGCAACCTCAGGGACACCACCACGATTGTGACAATCTTCAAGAAAGGAGACAAGTCCAACTGTGGAAACTACAGAGCAATCAGCCTTGCTGTCCACCACAGCAAAGATCATTACAAGAACCCTCATGAACCTTCTCCTTCCACTTGCTGAAGAGCTCCTTCCAGAATCTCAGTGTGGGTGGAGACACAACTGACATGATCTTCACAGCTCGCCAGCTGCAGAAGAAATGCTGGTAACAATATAAGCCTCTCTACATAGCCTTCTTTGACCTCATGAAAGCTTTCAACTCTGTTATCCAGGAAGTGTTACGGAGGATTCTTCTGAAGCACAGATGCCCACCAAAGTGTGTCACTATCCTCTTCCTGTCCATGACTGTATGCAAGTGGTGGTTCTTAGGTCCCTTTGAAGTTAAAACCGGAGTTAAGCAAGACTTCATCATAGCTCCAATACTCTTCTCAATATTTCTTGCTGCGATGCCAAAACTGGCCACCAACAAGCTTCCAGCCAGAGTGGAACTAAACTATTGAATGAATGGAAGCTGTTTAACCTCAGCTGACTAAGCCAAAACCAAGACCTCCCTGACCTCAATCATTTAGCTCCAGTATGCTGATGATGCTGTAGTGCAGGGGTGGGCAAAATGAGGGCCGCATCCAGCCCGCAGGCCGCCAGGCCAGTCTATCCGGCCCATGAAAAAATTTAGGAAATTAATATTGATCTGCCCCTGGCTGCCTGTCATACAGCCCTCTGGCTTGCCAAAACTCAGTAAGCAGCCCTCCGCCCGAAATAATTGCCCGCCCCTAACTTGGAAGCCGACCTTCAGAAAATTGTTGATGTCTTCGTAGAGGCATACAAGAAAATGGGACTGACATTTAACACTCAGAAGACTAAGATCTTCCACCAACAAGCTCCTAATGAACAGTTGCTAGCTCCGGTAATCCAGATTCACAGTGAGACACTGGAGAACACTGATTATTTCCCGTACTTCAGAAACAATCTCTCACAGATGCCTGACACAGACAAAGAAATCCAACATCACCTCAAATGTGCAAGTGTAGCCCTTGGACGCCTGAAGAAATGGGTGTTCAAAGATCGCAACATCAGATCCAAAACCAACCTCACGGTTTATCAAGCAGTCATGATCCCCACCTTGTGAGTCGAGATACGGACAATGTACAGGAGACATGTAAAGTTATTGGAGAAGTACGATCAATGCTGCCTGCAGAAGATCCTCCAAATCCAGCAGGAAGACAAATAAACCAATGTTAGCGCCCTCCTGCAAGCAAACACCATGAGTACTGAGGCAAATATCATCTAACATCAATTTCGTTGGGTCAGCCATGTCATCCAGATGTCAACTGCAGACTCCCGAAGCAAGTTTTATTCTCCGAGCTCAGCCAAGGCATAAGGTCAAGAACAGGGCAGAGAAAGCACTTCAGGGATGGCCCAAGACCATCTTAAAAAAATACAACATCGATGTCAACCCACGGGAGACTATCACACAGGACCGCCTCAAATGGGGGAAGAATCGGCTGCAGGGATCTCAGTACTTTGAAAACTCACAACAACAGGAGATGGGAAAGTGGGAGCAGCAGAAATGGAGTGTCGTGGACCAAATCAAGAATCCAGAGCCACACACCCCACCATGGAAATATACATTCAAGCTGCAATAGAGTCTGTTGATCCTGGATAGGCCTCATCAGCCATCTTCAGACATGCAGGTAAGACAATCATGGAAAACAATCATCCTCAACTGTGAGGGACTGCCTAAGATCACAAGAGGGCAGTCCTCCTCTCAGTGCGTTTGTAACTAGTTTCCCCACTCTGTTATAAGCTCCAGATTTTCCTAAGAAGCCTCTGACAGCCTTCCCAAGTAGCAGCATGAAACTGTCATTATTCTTGACAGTTTAACTACTGCCCTTAGCATCCTAAATAGCAGCAATGAAAAATTGGGCAGATTCTCATCATTTTTGCTCTGCTCCTTCTTAGGAAAGGTGCAACTTACACCAGAGGCATTACAGTTGACTGCTGACTCAGGAAAACACAGAGCATTCAGTTTACATTCAGTTCACATTTGGAAGGTTGTCTTTACAAGCATGAAGCTATGAAAAATAAGTCTGAAAGTGTTACAGTGGAGGACATAGTTTCTACTCAATTTTAAGGACAGTATCCCACTAGCTATTAGTGAATGTTTTTTTCTAGCCCTAAGCACAAATAAATCTACAACAACACAAAATATCTTGTCAACAGGGCTCATAAAATATTAAGGTATAGGCTATCGTTCTCTTTTTGTGTGTGTGTAAATAAGAGCTATAAATAAAAATCCCAAAACAATTTAAGATTTTTAAAGGCATGATTGTTAACTCTACTCAAGAGAATAAAGGAAACCTATATGTAATAAGTAGCACCAAAATAACTGCAATTTTTTTCTACCTCAAAACCTGTATTTTTCAACTGTTTATCATAATACATGTTATTTCATACAAATTAACAATAACCAAAGCAGTCTACAAGTCCATTATAACAGCAACAACATACCTTATTCCTGTAGTTAATGCAATAGGAGTGCGGGAAAGTTTTGAGAGTGTTTCTATGACCTACAAAGAATGGAAGAGAAAATATGTTTATAGTTGGAGATGAGAAACTAGGCCATATTTTGTTCTCCTTTTCAATTTTGTAATAAATTTGTGCTTAGTTTATACCACATATCATAAATAAATACTGTGCAAAGCACTGCATGCCCTCAACTCGCGTGGAATTATATAGGCATTGAGGATGTTCACCATTTCACAGGTTTGCATCCCAAGTGTTCTTTGTTTTGGTGTGGATTTTTTAGTAGTAGGTTAGGAAGAGCAAGATGCCTCTGATTTACAAGTTTTAATAGGTTCAAAAAAAGAATGCAATTAAATAAGTTTTCAGAACAACATTCAAATAGTCAAAAAGCTATGTATAGAAAAACTGTTCAGAAAAATCTATTAAATGCATTCCATTTGCAATGAGACATGAATGTGACATTAATCAGATTTTAATCCTATAGACTGCCACAAAAGGTTTTCTTCCAAGAGAGAAAGACTGAGAAAAAAAAATCATTCATGTTTTTTATTCATTGACCAGAAGAGGGAGCCATATGATAAATCATAAGCAGAAACACATTTTTAGGAATAAAATAAATGAGTCAGAAGCACATATAGTCTCAGCTACTCTCTAGAAAATGTCTAAGTACTTGGCGTTTCATTCTAAGAAGAAACTTCACGTGGGTATACTAGGGCAGGGGTTTCCAACCTTTTTGGATCAGTGTACCCCTGGCAGCCAGACGCAGAGCAGGGGAGGTGGGGCGGTGCACAGCCAGATGCGGAGTGAGGCATGCGAGGGGTGGGGTACATGAGGCCAGACACAGAGCGGGGTTGTGGGGTAGCACACAGCCAAACGTGGAGCAGTGGCAGGCACTGTGTGAGAGCTTTCCCTGCCCTCTGCATCTGGCTGGGCAGGCAGCACGGGATGGCGTGTGGCAGCACTCTGTCCCTGCCTGCCTGCACGTACCCCATAGGCCCTTCGCAAGTACCCCGAGGGGTTCGCGCACCCCTGGTTGACAACCCCTATACTAGGACATTCAATAAGAAGATAGGCAAGAGAAGGAACCTTAATCTGGTAGCATATGTAAAAACTGTTCTGCATTCATTTGTGATACAAGGCCAATTTATACTTTGCTCACAACTGGAAGCATGTTCTGCATTATAAATAATTTGTGCTACTTTGCACCTCAATTGCCCAAAAGATTGGCAATTAATATTCCAGGAAAAAAGGGCCTTACAGACCTAACGGTTACAATTTCAGTGGAACCAGAGCTACATCCAGGCTATATTAAACTAGACTTATGTTACACATAAAAGCTTTCTTTTGACACGTGAAATAAAAGGGGGGAAACCAGGGCTGGGGAAAGGAGGTACCCAAGGGTCTGCAGCCCATGATGTGCAATCTCCCTCAGTCTAGAACCTGGACAACCCTGAAATAGGAGATAGCATACTTGTAGTTAAGCTGCTCTTATTAAAAGAGCAAACTATCAAACACAAAGAGAGCCATACATTATCTCAGTTTACACAAATAGATTTATCCAATTACATAGACTACAGGCAACTACATTGCTGGTCATTATACTCAGCCCAACTCCAGCCTATCCACATATTTAATTTTCACGAACAATGTAGAAAGTGTTAGCAGTAGACCTGGGCAAGAAAAATAATTCTTTTCAAAGAACAGACTACTCCAAGAAAGGAAATAAAGTCCTCACAGTGTGTCTGGTGGGTTACTACAGAGCTGTGGATCCTGGTGGCCCTGGAAGCCTCGAGTTTAAGGCAGTCCACTTGCTGGCTGCCCTCAAGTCATGGGATCTGGAAGATGCAGGGGCCCATGAGCCCTACAAAGCCAGGGGCTTGGTAGGTAAGACTTGTGAAGTTACAAGCGTGAAACCCCTGCATCAGCCTGCCAGCAGCTAGGGAGCAAAGCAATTTAAGCTTTCAGCCACCAAGGAGCTGGGAAAGCTACTGGGAAGAGAAAGGAATTTCATATCAAGAAATTTACAAATTCTAATAAAAGTTTTATCACAGTTTTTCTGACCAACACTAGTTTCAATACTTGCTATACGCATTGTCTGATTTTACTAGATCTCATGCTATACCAGTTAAGTCAGTTTGTTGAGTCAGAAGCCACAATGAGAAAATCTGCACTCTGCAGGTAAGGCTTTGTCATGTTTCTCTTCCCTTGCATTCTTGTATTTAAGAGGAATTATATAGTTTATTTATCTCAAACTATGGAATCTTTTAAGACCCTATATCCTTCTTTCATACTGGATGATTTAAATACTTCATCCCATTAGACCACATTCACAAGAAGCTGCATTGCACAATTTAGCTAAGGACATCAACACAAACAAGTGGGCAGTCAGGCAAAGACTTACAAAATGGCAGGTGCTTCACAATAAATTGCCTATGTACATGCTCTTACCCCTCAGTATGTACAAGCTCTTGGCCTTCAAGAGCTAATATTTGCTACTAGTATAGGGTAAGAGTGTACACATAGGAAGTGACCACAGAAAAGTTGAGACATTGCAAATCCCTGCTGTCCTTCACCTTCCAGTAACTTTTTGCATGTCTATGTCAAAGGGTTTCGGGGTCTTGATTCCAGATGCTAACTTACAAAATTTAAGATCCTTGGGGCAAGGAATTGTTTGTACAATTCCCAACATGAACAGATGTATATCCATGAATGAGGGTTACTAGAGGGTTACTGGATGGTGGATTTACACAAACTTTTAGATATCACACAGGCCTTTGAGAAAGGAGCAGATACAGCAGACCCAAGTAACAAATGGACAAGCACTTGAGAAACTCAAGAAAATTAAGAGAAAACTCTACTCTTACAGCGTATCTAAGTGATCTATACAGTGCTTTTAAGTGATCTATATAGTGATATTAAGTCTTGGGGACAGAAGTGATGCTCCTCCACAGAAGTACACTTCATTGTCAAAGCCATTATGAAAGCACACAGCACTTCTAGAAGATAACATCCAAGTTTTTCAGTACATGATCAATTTATGCAAAACAGGGTGATACATTTAAAAATAAAACACTACACAAGGAAACACATTCCTTGTGTACACTAATCTCTGGTGGATGATGTACTCCTAATCTCTGGTGGATGATGTACTCCTGATTCATTTGTTTCAAGCAGAGTTGGCAAGAGCAATGAGCATTAACTTATTTCATCCAGTACTCCAACAGTGGATTTTTTTTTTTTTTTAACTTAGCATTTATTTTTATTCCAAACGACTTGCAACTGCCACACACGCACACACACATATATTAAGCAGCTGTTTATTAGCAGATTAACAGAAGCTAATTCACTGTAATTTATAAGTACTCTTGTGCCCTCTAATTAAATATTGTTTTTAAATTTCCTGAAACAATATTCCTCAGTATATCACATCTGATATTTCTGCACATGCAGTAGCCCACTACAGGAAGAATTTTGTTTCTCTTCCACAGTGGAGATTTCTCCTAGTTTGTTACACTGGGGCTTTTTATTTTCTTTTTCATTTGCTTTTCTGTCTTTTTATCTCTCTCAGAACAGTTGACCTGAAAGCCCCATATTTCAAATGCAGCCTTAAAACTAGCCTTTTAAAATCTTTTTTGCACTGATATTTTGGAGGAGGCATAAAAATAAGTATTGCAATGTAATATAGAAGCCACATCCGTCCCCTAAACAGGCAACGGCCTCCATCTATAGATGTGTCTAGCCACTTATAATTTATCTAGGTTAATTTTCATTTTATAATCTGAGCAAGTGAATGTTTTGTTACTGTATTTTTCCTGCATATAAACAGACCCCAGAATATGATGCATACATAATTTTTGAAAGGCAAAATGAAGAAAAAAAAGCTTTTTCCAAAGAGATGGGTGCACAGAGCACGAACAGAACCTAATCCTCAGTTGATCCACCCTCCCTTTCCTGCTTAACTGAAACTGAAACTAGCTGCTACCGAAGGCTGGTCTCCACAGGCGAATCTATGATTTTGAAAAGACCTAAGAGTCACCAAAGCTGTGAAACACGAGAAGAGAGACCAGGAGCAGCTAGCACACAGCAAAACTGCTCCAAGAAAGGTTATCTCGATTAGTGGAATATCAAGAAGTTTAAAAAGGAGAGATGATCATTAACACCTCTGGAGTGAAGAACAATGAGCCATTAAGTCAACTGACTCCCTAAGCTGCCTGAACAGAAATACAACAGCTACTGCACTGTGGAACAGGAATCAAAGCAGGATGCTTCTGTCCCAGTGAGAAAAAACCTTTCCCACTTAATACACACAACCACCAGTCTTTGGGGACTGATTTGGAGGGAAATGGTACATGTTGTATATGAGAAAATATTGTAATTTTGACCCCTAACTTTGGATTTAATCCAGCAAATGCTTACTGTAAAGTTGTGCTTGTTACTGTGGGTAGCACCTCAGATGCATAAAACTAGGCAGTGTATCAGTTCTTTTTGGCTAACTACATAAACAGCAAGCTACCCAATATGTCAGCTGGTCATTAGTTCTGACCAAAAGCACGCTAATTATGTTACAGGTTGGAATGAATATAAAAACCTTCCCTCTGAGATAGATTTTCTACGTACTGCAACAACCATTCATGTACCTGAAAAAGATTACACCAGCCACTAGAATACTTTTGGCCTCATTACAGGCTGAACTCCTTTGAAAGTCTGGAAAACTACTCTGGGGAATATCTGCAAGTGTCCCCTTTGACTGCACTCAAGCACGCTGGAGACAGCAAGCTTGAGAACAGCAGCAGGCACACCCTGAGGGATAGCTCCTCTGCCTCATCGCCAGGTTTGGCATGTACAGGTGTGGGTGAGTGGGATGTGCTCACGAGTAGAGTTCCTTAGGTCATTGTGGAAACAGTGCAGATATACCCAGAGTGACCCGAGGCCTCCTCCAAGGGATTTCAAACCATCCTAATCACTCACGTAGTCTCCTACACAGTCTATTTTCAGCTAGTATCTTTGTCCTCCCCCTATTCTTTCCCACTCATAGCTCTATTGT